CAAAGAGATGAAGAAATTCAAAAATTATTATTCATTCTAGAAGTTTTTTATGAAAAACAATGTGATCAAAAAAAAGTAAAAGAAGTTCTTACTAATAATTTTATATAGTCAATGCTAAGATAAGGTTTTAATATTCATAATAGGTAAGTTTAAAAGGCATGTAATTAACTATAATTATCAAACCCTTAATCAATCAAATAGTTTTATTAAGCATCAATAAAACCTAGCCTTTAATAATTATGCAGGGATTTGAATGTTAAATAATATACAGAACCAATAGAAGTTATATTATTTATTGAATTTTTTAATCAAGTTAAAGTTAAAGTTGAATAAATAAAGAATATGCGTAATAACTTGGATATATAACATTAGAATATGGAGTCATTATTTGAATAAATTAGGGTTAGATAATATGTAAATTTTTTTGATAGAGAAAGGGCTTTAGCGGTATAAATATAATTATATTATTAGTAAATTGAAAATTATAAAGCTTAATTAGAAAATTTTAAAAAATAAGCCGAATAAATTTAGGAATTGCAAAATTTTAATCATGAGTACTATTTGAATGACATCGTTTAATATATGAAACGTTTAGGTTTATTCAATAATAATGATAATAACTTTTCCTTTTAACATTAACAGGACCTTAGAAGATACATGATGAAAAAATAGATTAGCACATTCTTATCAGATATGATCTTCTAAGCCTTTAGAAACAGTTTTAATTAAATTTCTATTTTGAAATAAAATAGAAATTCGATAATAACAAACAAATTATTTTTAGCAATTGAAGTTGAAATAATTGATGAGATTAAAAAGTATCTTTATGAATCAAGAATGTAAACCTTAGAGAAAAAGATTGCTAATTAAATATATTGAAAAATAAGATATAATTGAATGTTATTTTAGTATAAATTTCAAATTAATATTAATATTAAATTAATATCTATTAATTTTGAAAACTATATAAATTAATTTAATTTAAATAGAATTAAATTACCTATCTCTAATATATTAAAAATGTAAATACGAATAAAGAATAAATATATAATCAAATATATTTTTGTTGCTATTAAAATTGATAATATATTCCTATCCTTCTATTAGGAATTTAATATTTAGTTTACTTAGAATGAAACATCAATTGTTTATAATTTAATGAAAATAATTAGATTAATTAATTGGTAATTTAGATGAATTGATTAAAAAATCAAAAAATAATTGGATAATAAAATGTTGCTTATAGTTTTTATGATGATATAGAGAATTTCAATAATAAAGAAAAAAGTGAATCAATTCAATTAGTAAATATTATTAGATAAAATTAATTAATTAAACTAATAATTGAATCAAAAAATTGAGAAGTACCTAAATTTATTTAAACCATTTTAAGATAATAAAAAATGTGATGAAATATTAAATAAGTAAATTATAAAATTATCATCTAGACTTAAAAGCAAGTGAAATAAGGGGAGAATTAATATTAGTAATCAGTATAATAATTGATAATGTACAAATAAGTTTAATTTAAACTAATAGATGATTAATATTAATAGATTGGATTATGTTAAGCAATATCGTTCAATAAAGATGGATCAATTATGATTTCAAGTGATAGTAATATAATTAAAATTTGGAATTTTGAATAAGGAAGATTCAAATTATCTAATTCTAATATTTAGAAACAAATAATTTTATTTCAGGTTTTGTATATTATCAAATTATCTGTTGACAATAAATTAAACAAAATGAATGGAAGTTTTCATAACCATTCAAATAAAATACTGGTCGTGTTAATTATTTAATATTAAATAAATAACAAGATCAACTTATTTCTGGAGGGTGTGATGAAAAAATAATAGTTTAGTAAGTAGGTTTTAGAAAGAATGAGTTGACATATCTTTATTCACTAGATAAACATAACAATAGTGTTGAATCACTCAGTTTAAATTAATCCATCATGTGGTTATAGTCACTTTATAATATGGGAGAAAGGATTATAAGGAAAATGGGAATTCAAATATAAATAAAGTGTTTAAAGTGGACATAAAATACATTTCATTAATGATTAATAATTTATTTGGGTTACATTAGATAAGTAAATAAATGATATTTTAGTATTTGAATTATAGAATGGAGTCTTTAAATAGAATTCAAATAAAACTATCACTTTAATTAAAAATGATCAATGTGATGATATATTATTTCCAATTATACATAATAGAGATAAAAATGTGATATTGATAAGACACAAATATCATATATATTTGATTAGATAATTAAATGATGGCACATTTAACATTCTTGAATCATTAAATTGTTAAACTAAAGAAACATATGGAACAATGACCAATAATGGATAATATTTAGTATTTTGGGATAACAAATTTGAAAAATACTCATCATATGAGATATTATATAAATGAATCAAAAAAAATCTAGTATAATAAATGATTTTCTGATTTCTTTTTTTCATTTGAGAAAACTAGGTTAAAATTTAATTTTTTTTTATTTTATAAAGATATTTATAGCTTAGTTGATCTAATATATCCCATTATTTGGAGATTTATATCTTGTCACTTGTTTTATATTAGGACTATATTGTTTTATAATACAACTTTATATAAATCAAGTACTTATGACATATGGAGGAAGAGGGAAGATACCATATTAGAGAAAATATTCTCTATTTTCAAAATTATGCTTAAGAAAGAACTCAATAATGATTTGAAGAATTAAAAACATTTTTTCTTTAATTTTAAAGAATATTTGTTTAAAAATATCAATTTTGAAAATAATTTTTCAAACTTTTTTTAAATTAGATTTATTATTAATGTATGCATTAATTTAGTAATATTTCAGTGATTCTTATTAAGTAGGACAATGACAATAAAATTACAAACGATTACAAATTATATCAAATTTACTGGTATTCTATCTCTGAGAAGAACAAGAGATCTATTTGAAAAAGGGCTTACTTTTACTTCTGTAATAGTTGATAGTCAAATAGAAAATGCTACTTGATATAGAATAGCTCTGGAGTATAATAAATAATAGTGAATTTTTAGAGGTTGAATTTTCAAGTATATCCAAAATAAGATAGGATTTAAAGTATATAAAAATTCAACAGTTTCAAATTAAAACATATAATTCCTCCTTTGAGTTTAGAATGATTTGTAAATGAATTTATTGGTAACTTATATCTTAAATCCTATTGTAGATATCACTTTAAAGATTTAAGATTTATAATAAGAAAGAAAAGCTATATCTTTAGTTCTGAAGATTTAGATTGAATAAAATTCTAAATTTAAAGAAACAGTTGAAGGCTGGCCATGAGTAAATGTTATATAAAAAAAAATTAAGGATGTCATTACTATTTTGCAGTTGTATAAATATTAGAAAATCAAGAATATGTAAGAAATAATTAGTATTATTTTTAGACTATCTAGTCTAATTAATTTAGGTATATTTAAGCTTGATTAAAAAATTAACGAACCATAATAGAATAAATGATTGCCAGACTCAACCCCTATTCTACTTTTATTGAAGAATTTTTCTGAAATACTGGTTTAGAATGATTATAATAAATAAAAAATTAAACAATTAAAGAAATTATTTTATTTGTTTTATTATAAAAAGTTATTGTTTTCTAACTTATTTTATTAAGAATTGTTTAAATTGATAAAAAGCTAAAAAGTTAATTGTGGTTTCAAAAAATCATGTAATTAAAATCAAATTTGGACAAAAAATAAATTATTTTAGAATAAAAAAACTCTATGTTCCATAAGGCGGATGTTAAAGTAAAACTGGAGGGAAACCTGACAGTTTCCAAGCTGAGGGATTTGAAGGCCCATCAAGCATGACAGGAATTTGAAAGAGGTTTTTTCAGATTTAACAAGAAGTATTACTTTAGTTTAAATACAAGTTCCTCAGTGCTTGAAAAAAGATCTGGGAGTTTCTATAGGTACAATTAGAGGGAATTACTATGTCTATGATTAAGATATAAAAAAGGGTGCCCTAAGTACCTAGTAACTGATGATTTATGAGCATATAGAACATGATTTCTATGGATTACACTGATTAATTTTTATAACAGAAAAAATCTGTGTATATTATATTAAATTTGAAGAGAAAATTTTAGAGACTTTAAAGAAAAATTAGATATCATCACATAACATTAGATATTTTATAATTTTAATGAAAGCTACTTGATAAAATTTAATAAATCATTTCTATTTTAAGAAAATGGAATTTATCAAGTATTAGGACTATTTTTATTCCTTATTGATTTTTTGTATCTATTAAATCAGGTATAATCCTGAATCGAGATAAAAAGGATAACGAGATTTGTTTAAGTATAAAAGATTGAAATAATATTGTTAAATAAATAATACAAACAATAATCTCTAAGAAAACTTTTATAATAATGATAATTATTAAATAAATATTGTTATTTATCATTATTTATAGGAATATAAGATAAAGTTCATCAATCTTATATAATCATTCATTATATGAATTGCTTTTATTATTATTATTAATTATAATAATTTAAATTGAGTTAATTTATTAATATCTAATTTAAATTCTACATAATTAAATTTATATATTTGAGTAGATCAATAGATTATTCAGTATTACAACTAATAGAATAATAAATTCTTAGTTATTTAAATTTAATTAGAAATAACTATCTCTATATTTAATTTTAGAAAGTTATAATCTTTTTTTATTATTGATGGTTTTCTAGGTTACGAATAATTGAACCAAAAGTGAAACAGTAAGATATATATTCACCAGCATTAATTTAAGAAAATGTAATAATCCCAAGTAAAAAGAATGCAACCTGCTTATTTAATGTAGTATATTCTGTTTAAGGTGCAATTGTTTAGTAGAGGAAACTTTGATCTTTTCATTATTTATTTCGGATGAAACTAGCTCATGATTGGTGATTTTACCTTAATGGCAGATGAAAACGAATAAATAAAACTGTACTCGATTACAATAATAACGAAAAGAAAGATTGTAAGTTAAAAATTATTAGTATAATTTTATATCATCCATCATTTTCAATTTAATTACAAAAAATAAGCTAAGTAATAATTTTGATATTTTTTAGCAATTAAAAACTTCTAATTTTCTATATGTTTAGCAATATTAATATAAGATTAAAATTATAATTATTATTAGTACAAAAATAATAGTTGTTAATGAATTTTTTTCAATTATTGTTCCTTATTGAATTCATTTTTAACTATATCAAATATATTTAATTCTATAAATTTGTACAAATTTCTAATTAGTACCTAAGTAAGCATCATTGGTGACGTCTAGAAAGGAGAATTCCTAGAACAACTTTTTTTGTTCTTTCAATCAATAGAGCTGAAGTTCGAGGAAAAAGGAAGTTACATATCCAGATTCATGTACTTAGGTCGCCAACCAAATTTAAGAAGGTTTCTAGACTTTCAAGCACTGGTTGACTAATAATTGATCAGGCCTTTCATTATAGGGAAAGAGGTAGATGTCTCCACAATAACTGTAAAAGTAAATTGAGCATACCCAATTTCTCAGAGCCCCTCTCAGCTCCAAGCCTCTTCTGTGAGTTTGCATTTTGAAACCTTCCTTTCAGTTTACACCAGGCGTTACTTGTCCATATTATTTTAATTAAAAATAAATTTACTTTTATCTCTAATTAGAAGTTGATAATATCTATGTTGATATCTGACTGATATTGAAGTGTGTATGGAGAAAAAAAACCCTCCCGAGTTCACTGTTCATAAATTAACTCTAGTAGATAAAATTCTTCTGAAGAAAGTATTATTTAATATTTCTATTCAATTCTTTGTGATTCAACTTTCTTTGTATATATGAAGTTATAAGTATAAGATAAGTCTAAGAATAGAGTAACTTTACTTTGTTTCTCTTTCACTTTCGATTTAATTTCTTTTATGAATAAAACAAGATTTTATGCACATCCCAAGTGAGATACAGAGCCAATCTAAGATGATTTAGTTTGCTTGACTACAGTTCCTTAAAATTTTTTCATAAAAGGCTTCTATCGATTTAAAAAAAATATTTTCCAATTGGAAATCTGATGATGATCTTCTTTAGTGGAACCACCCTCATACTGAACATAATTCCATTTTATTTAACTCTTAAACAATCATTTTTACAGGATCATTTTCATTTAGATAAGATATTAGCCTCATCAGCTTG